ACCCCCCCCCCCCCATAATTTAAATGTCGTCAGGGTGTAATTTAATTTAGGCCATTGCGGAAACTAAAACTCTAGTGGAACCCAGTATGATATTATTAGGCTTCCGCTACAACCACCACTACATCCACTACTGTACTACCTGCCATTGCATGTTGAGCTTGCCATGCTTCAAATGCTGCATTGAGGAATGTTTATTGTCTTTTTGGCATGTCCACATTTGCTGTAGCATGACTGTGACAAACACTGAGGATTGACTCAAACACTGTATCAGTTCAGTGTTGTGGTTGTGGGAGGCAGCACAGAGGAACAGAGATACATTGTGCTATTTCCACATTGTATGTGAGCTCCAGCCCTCTCATGCATCTCTACAAGGGCTGTGTTGTTCTCAAACTGGATTTTTCAAAGCATTTCACTCTCATCTCAATATTTCCACAAGCGGTCAGGGTGTCACTGTGTTGTGGGATAAAATCTGCACTGTCTGTTTGGATGCCATGCATAGCCACAGAGGGTGATGCTGGTTGATATGGTGAGACTCAAATTCCCAGATGGCCTAAATACATTTGGAAAAAGTCAAATAATTGAAGTTGTTTACAACCATGAATAGTACACAGTTTTAATGATGGTGTACTACCACATTACATTTAATTTCAACCCCTGATTTTTCCTTTAGTGTCATCATGTTGACATTTGTGGTTTTGAGTGAAATGTCTAAACAATTACTGGATTGTCATGAAATTTGGCAATTTGAGTGAGTACACTATTATCTGAATCTACTCCAACTAAATGATCTGTATCCGTATCTTAAACCGGATGTGGGTGGTGCTTAAATAAGATAACTGTTTACAGAACATGTGTATTTTTTTTCCATAAAAGATGCTATATTTACGAGTATGGATATTGACACATTTTACTTGTTTGATACTAGTACTCATAAAAACTACATTATCTGTATCAGATACTCATTTCTGTTGAGCACTCGCTCATCTGTGCTAATTAGAAAATGATAGAATGCTAATATGCAAAACTAAGATGGTGAATATGTTAAACATTACACCTGCTAAAC